TAAAGAACCCAAAAATTGATAACTTAAAGAGTGCAAAGAAAATATTTTATATAACAATGGTTGAAAGGGGTGGATATTGCTTAGACTTGACGAGTATTTGATATGGTTAAATGAAATAGTTATTAATATTGTCCAGTTCTATACACGACTCATTTTGCAGAATTTTTACTTTTACTTTTTGCTCTTGTAAAAGATTTCTTAAGAAACACTTAAATTTGCAAAGACCTGCCGAAGGGGCACATAATCTATTTTAAGAAAGAAGCCACTTATGAGTTCTCGTTTGCTTCAAAATTTCATTTTAATTCAATTTTAAGTGCGTTTTTTATAAGTTGAATTTATAAAACTAAATATCCAATGAAAAAAAAAATACCATTTATTTTGTTCATTCAAGATTCCAAACATGTCCATATAGTGTGTTGTCAATGTCTTCGGATGCTTCGATAGTGAGTGTGGCCAAATTATTCGAATCAAGCCTAAATTGAAATCTTAGTCATATGAAGTTGTTGAAATGCTATCTTCCTTACTGACTACTTGTGACCAACATGGCCATGTGTTTGAAATTAGTATTATAGTAATAAACGACAAAAACATGAAATTTTGCATCAAAACTACCATTCGTCATTTTTATAAGTAGTATTCTGAATGGATTGTTTGACAATTTTTTTGATAATTAGTGAATTTTGATAAAAATTGTGGATTTCATAAAATGTGATTAATACTGAAATTCGATCAGTTGAAAGTTAATAATGTCAATTTAACATTTTAATAGGAAAAGAAGAAATTAATTAGAAAATTTGCATTGCTAATATGAGATCACTATGCATTTGTAGGAATGGTGAAAAGTCCATTGCGAAGTGGATAGAGGGGTAAAAGCGGTAATTGGAGGACCCTTATGAAGGGCAATGATGGAACACTATTCCGAAATTTGATCCACTGTGGCCTAAACTCCCACCCTCAACCATTGCTTCCCCCACCTAACCATAGAAAAATCTCTCAAAATTCTCTTACTTGACCAAAATGCCTCTCTCATTGGCTTACAGCATTGACCCGAACACACTAAGTGGACTCACTGTCAATTAAAAGAATAGATCCCAATATTAAACCTCATCAAGCACGACTAAGACAAGTCGACGAAATTAGTGACTTAAAAAATTGTAGATTCCACAAAATATATGATTAAAATTTATTGTTGATTTTGGCTTCAACTTTGTAACAAAATTTTAAATTATCCAAAAAAATAAAAATAAAAATAAAAAATCCCTGATTTATTATTATTATTATTATTATTATTATTATTATTTATCGATATGGTCGAGCTTTGTTCAATAGTATTATTGTACAAATGAAATTGGAGAAACAAAAAGAAATAGGACAAAATATAAATTGGGAGTGAAAAATCGAATGACAAGGCAGCCGGAAAATCCCATTTGAACGGGGCACCCCGTTTACACCACACCATTTGCCGGGTGGTGGGCCTGGTGGCTACAACGGACGATGGTTAATACTTGATACACACAATGTCAACTTTTCAAGTCGCCTGTCTTAATTAATTGGGCTTGCTAAAAACATATAATGTTTAAAGTTTACAAGTAAAGTAATTTTTTATTTGAAAAAGTCATTTCTTTTACTTTTAAGTAAAAAATATTAATTTACAGATAACTATTATGTTAACACCCTTATCTCGTTCCCACTCATATTGTCCTGCCATGAAAGGGCGTGGGTGGTATAGCGTGGGGAGTTCCCTGATTAATTGGGAAATTGAGACACGGATGGGAAATGTAATACTTATCTCGACTCTTAATTAAATTTAAATAATTAAAATTGACGTTGAAGTTTTCCTTTCATCAATTGAAATTTTATACTCTAGAAACGACTCTAAGTGTTTGTTTGGTAGGAATTTTGATAATTGATTTTTTGACCGTTAGAGAGAAAGTGAGTCCTACCTGTGAGAGAAAAATTCAAAAATGACGACTGAAGTAGTGAAATAATGATAAAAAAATTAATTTTAATTGACTTTTAAACCCCTACCAAACAAGCTCTAAATTTCATCGAACTCGTATTATTATTACTACTTATTTTTAAATTTTTGAGATAATTAAATTTGATATTCAAGATTAGTTGGAGAAAAGTTCGACTCTTAAGTCTTTATTTAAAATCTTAATAATAATTTAAAAAAATTCTAAAGCACCTCGAAAATCGAACAAATCAACAAATCTGTTGACTAAAACACAAAATCTTTGCAATTTAGACAATGGCTTTAACTTTAGGTTAATTTTTTTGAAAAAAAATCCACACTTAAACAGTTATCAAGTCCTTAGTCTTCTTCCATAACTTTAATTAGCATTCTTTAAGTTCAACTTTAACCAGAAAAGCTAACGCCGTTACGGCGCCACAATGAGCCGTCTAAGAAAAAGCACAGAAAATCCCTTTTATATGGTGAGCCGGGCAAATGAAGTGGGGCTAGGACTTGATGTGGGCACGTTGCGCGTGTTTTTATTTTAATTTGTATGTCTTCTTCATGGCGACCCAACTGAGCCGATTTGACTTTACTCGTGTAAAACAAAATAAAGTGAGCTTTTTAAATAAAGGTAATTGTTCGGCCGGCCGGTTTAATTCAAAGGTCTCGAAGCAGTAGTAAAATAATTACATAAAATAAAACTAAGGTTTAGATGTGAATCATGTGGTCGTAAGGTTATTTTACGAGTTTTAACTACTTTTCAAATAGAACATACATAAAAATATTGAAATCGGTTCTTTTTTTTTGATTGAACGATTTAACTTTCCACAATATTATATATTAAGTTGTAGAACTTAATTATTATCGTTGTACGGAGTTAGTGCACAGATCAACCTCCATGATGAGGTCACTGTGAGGGTTGGAAGGGGGTTGGAAAAGCTCCCTCCTGAAGGGTTGCAGGCTATGGATGGCGGGACAAGTCCTCTTCCCCGTTTGCATTTTATTTTTTTTTATTTTTTTTCATATCTTGAGTTGGTGAAAATCATTACTTTTTTAAAAAAAAAAATTTGTAGAACAACTCATGTTTCCTTTAAAAGGGATGATGATTATATTTCTTTTTGTATAATAAAAAACTCGCATTTTAAAATTTACTTTGAACGAGGCGGGCCATGTTACACATATTCCCGCCTCGTACCCGTCCGTCTCATGTACCTAATTAGGTGGAGAATCATTGCTCCCGTTTGAGGTGAGATCTCCCGATTATTAGATTTAACGAGTTTTTTTTTTTATCATATCTAATGCAGGTCGGTGCTCTAGAATTAAACTTTCATTTACAATTTACAAATGTTACACTCATACTTTTGATTTTACCTTAGTTTGTCTCATAAACTAGGGAGCTGTCATTTATTTTTGAATTATCATCATAAAAGAGAGGTGCTAGGGAAAATATGGTATGTAATTTTCTCTTGTAAAATTCTTTTTATCATAATAAAGTATTGCACTAACAAAAAAGGATATAGACTCGTATTGAGATGAATCTTTATACATCTTGTGTGTTCTTGTATCTATTTTATTTACGTGAATTTATTATTCTTAATGGTAGAATTAAGTTACCTTTATTACATTTAATAGTGATTGTGATCATGTTCATTTGGAAGTTTGTTCAATAATGCCCACATGCATGAACAACTAGCGAATGCAATTTTCCTTAAATTAAATTAGTATTAGATTGTTTATGAAGAATAAAAGCACATGTTCATATGAGCGTGAGTTGAACGGTGAATATATTTGAATAATTACTAAGGACAGAGTTGAAAATAAAATATTAATAAGTAATATTATTGTCTGGCAAAAATGATAACTTTCATCTACAAATTACTGAGAATTAGATGAGGATTTCTTATATTTATCATCTCCCTAATAAACGTATGATAAAAAAATTATTAAATTCGTTTTAAGTAGCGAGCTTAAAGCTACGATGATGATCCAGAAGGTATTATACCTTATACCACTCGATATATAATGATGAGGCGTACAAGTACATGAAAATGAAATGTAATTTTTTTAAGTTTACACATCGTTCTCCCCATCTAAACACTGACTTTCAAAGTAAAATGTATTTTATTTTTTCATTATTAATATAACATATTTGTAACCTTAAAATCGAGTTAATTGTTCCAATGATCATTGAACTTAGGTCCATGTCTTTGATTAGTTACTGAAATTTAAAATGTCGAGTTTTGATCACTAAATCTAGGTTCATGTTTTCGATTGCTCACTGAAATTTAAAATGTCGAATTTTGACCACTGAACTTTGAAAAATGTTGTACATTACTCATTGTAAATTTGATACTTTTCAAAATTCAACAATTATGCTAATGAGTAACGTACGACATATTCTCAAGTTCGGTGACCAAAACTCGACATTTTAAACTTTAGTGAGCAATCTAAGAAATGAACCTAAGTTTAGTGAGCTATCGAAGACATTGACTTAAATTCAGTAATCAAAACTCGACATTTTCAACTTCAATGATCAATCAAAGATATGAACCTAAGTTCAGTGACCATTGGAACAATTAACCCCCTTAAAATCATACTTACTTGAAGCTTTTGAAAGTCAAAAAGATATTTTTGAGATTAAGAATTTTCCTTTGAATTTTTTTGGATAATTTAAGTATTTTTCTAGTACATGAATTTCTAGAGAAGATTAATATTCAGAAAATTATTTTACAAAAAATAAAATTTCTGCCGAATAACCTTGTTTAGTGCTTGTTTGATAGGGATTTTGTTAATTATTTTTTTGACCGTTGGAGATAAAGTGGGTCCTGTGAGAGAAGAATTCAAAAATAAAAATTGAAATAGTGAAATAACAATAAAAAAATTAATGTTAATCGGATTTAAATCTCTTCCAAATATGTTCATATGCTTAATTAAATTTCCATTTGATTAAAAAATGGAGCCGTTTGACTAGACTGGATACAGTATACTGCTAATTAATGTCGTAACAAAAGCAGCCAATTTCATGGATCGGTTTCTTTTCTTACGAGAGAGCCAACAACCAATTCGCCAAAATCTCTCGATTCTCTCTAATTTTAAACGAAAACCGAGAATCGAACATAAGTGGAATACAGTGAAGTGTGAAAAAGAAATCAGAATTTCAAAGCTGAATTGAAACAGTTCACACTCTTCGTGCCCACAATTAATATATATAGTCACTACAGCGTCTCTTTCTTTATCTGTATAACTATACACATATATATACCTTCTCTGCAATTCTATAAAGAAAGAAAGACAGACTGTGCATCCTTGAACTTTGCTGCTTTTAAGGGCTTGCTCTCGCAGTCGCCGCCTTTGTGTTTCGGCAGCTGCAACAAATTTTGATGGTGGAGATACTGTTCAACTGCATTTGAGTGAGCTTAATTTTGGTTAATGAGATTTTGTAGTTGGGTGCATTAAAGGCCCTATCCCTACTCTCCTTTTTCTTTCATTGTTTTAGCCCTCTGTCAATTCTTGGAATGAAGAAATATTAAACCATTGCCTGTTGCTACTTTTCTAGCTATAGACTGGCATATTCGTATTCACTAATCAATTGGGGAGTGTTATTTTATAAACTGAGATCTGGGTTCAAGAAAGAGACCTGTCGAAAGAAGGTATATTAGAAAGTGAAAATTGGGGTTTTTTCTTTGAGCTTTTTGTGCTTTTTTATTTTTACTTTTATTTTTATGGGTTCCTCTTGATTGTTTGTTTTTTTTTTTTTTTTTCCTTTTCTCTGGATCTGGAAATTCTTGGCTTTTGTTTTCTAAAGAGGAGGAGGGGAGGGTGTGGGGGTTAGCTTGGTTAATTCCTTTGTCTCATTTAGTGTCTTTTTTTGTTACACATCTACAAGAATTTCACACGTCCATTTTTTTAGAGGAAATCGAAAACAATGTCGTCTCAGAAGCAAGCAGAAGAAGCTATTGTCTCGAACTTCAATGAGACAGAACATGACAGCAAAGAGGAAGACACAATGGAAGATCAGTCCATGTTCAGCGTCAAGAGCTTCCTTTGGCACGGTGGCTCAACTTGGGATGCTTGGTTCAGTTGCGCTTCAAATCAAGTAACTACTTAGTACAAAAAAGGCGCTAAAATAGCAATCTTGTTTATCATATCGTCAAGTTCTAATTAGTGTCGACTTCAAATGTATTGCAGGTTGCCCAAGTGCTGTTGACACTGCCATACTCTTTCTCCCAACTGGGAATGGTATCTGGTATCTTGCTTCAAGTATTCTATGGGCTAATTGGAAGCTGGACAGCCTATCTCATTAGTGTTCTATACATCGAGTATCGCAGTAGAAAGGAGAAAGAAGGTGTTAGCTTCAAAAACCATGTCATTCAGGTTTGTACCTTCTTTGTTTCTAATTTTTCCACATTAAAAACGAACCCTTTTCAGTGTTATTCTTGAATTTACAGTGGTTTGAAGTTCTGGATGGATTACTGGGTCCTTACTGGAAAGCAGTGGGTTTAGCCTTCAACTGTACTTTCCTTCTTTTTGGATCTGTTATCCAACTTATAGCCTGTGCAAGGTACAATCTTTCTTCAGTTAATTAACTTTGTAAGGTTGGGATTTCTTAAAGTTTGATTCTATTTTGGTGGGTTCTTTTATGAACAGTAATATATACTACATCAATGATCGATTGGATAAGAGGACATGGACATACATATTTGGAGCTTGTTGTGCAACCACTGTTTTCATTCCCTCTTTTCACAACTACCGAATTTGGTCTTTTCTTGGCCTTGGGATGACCACTTATACGGCCTGGTACATGACCATAGCAGCCCTTGTCCATGGCCAGGTAATATATTCACTCACACACTTTCTTTGAAGGGGAGGCAATCTATATTTTTGGCTGAGGCATTTTATCGGACAGGTTGAAGACGTGCAACATTCGGCTCCAACAAAGCTAGTGCTGTACTTCACTGGCGCCACCAATATACTATACACCTTTGGTGGACATGCTGTCACTGTGTAAGCTTTTTTTTTTTCCTCTGCCATCTATTCAATTATTTATGCAAAATACTCTTCTTCTTCTGTTCCTTTTTCTATATGGCTTCTCTTTGCACCTTTTGCCGGCATCTTGGGGGATTGATATTTTAAATAAAGGGGCCACTTTTTCTTTGTTTGCTAGGGGAAAAAAATGACATTTCCCCTTCATTCCCCATATCCCCTCGACGCTGAAACAACAGTAAAATTAGTCTCAGTGTACTACAAGTTTCTGCCACTTTTCTGTGTAGATTCTGATCTTGATCTAGTCTGAAAGTAATCCTGTAATGGTTTTTTTTCTTCTTCTTCTCTCTCTTTATTTTTATTTTTTTATTTTTTTGAGAAATTTTCCACATGGCTTTTCATGGTAGAATAATCTTCATGTTCCTAGGCTAATCTTCTCATAAAAATTTGACAGGGAAATCATGCATGCTATGTGGAAACCCCAAAAGTTCAAGTACATTTACTTATTAGCCACATTATATGTTTTCACTCTAACTATACCATCGGCTTCTGCCGTCTATTGGGCGTTTGGCGACGAGCTTCTTAACCACGCCAACGCCTTTTCCCTCCTCCCAAAGAACAGTTGGCGTGATGCGGCCGTCATCCTCATGCTCATTCACCAGGTCCACATAAATTATGCGCAATTCTTTTCTTGTATTTTGGCATGTCATTCTTTGTGCTACATTAATTTGATTAGCCGGACTGAAACTGATTGGATTTTCGCGGTTTTCACAGTTTATCACATTTGGATTTGCGTGTACGCCACTGTACTTTGTGTGGGAGAAGGTAATAGGCATGCATGATACAAGAAGTATGTGTCTAAGAGCACTTGCAAGGCTACCTGTGGTGGTACCGATATGGTTCTTAGCTATTATCTTCCCATTTTTTGGTCCCATTAATTCCGCGGTTGGGGCTCTTTTAGTTAGTTTCACCGTCTACATCATCCCGGCTCTCGCTCATATGCTCACATACAGAAAAGCCACTGCCCGTCAGGTAACATCTTTAATATCGTCCAGTACTATACAATTCTCAGGACATTGGATTCCATTATCCTATTTTATCAGTAAAAGCAGTAAAAATGAAAAAGCAAAGTGAGTTGGCATGTCCTTTTCATTTAGTTATGTACTACAGTCTTGATTGTTGTATTATGTTCCATATATGAGCTGGATTGTAGCTGCTTCACCCACTTCACCCCATCATTAAGTCCATGTTTGGCCCCATCTTTTAAAATTCATTTTTTTCATTTTTCTCCAAACTCGCTTTCAATCACACATTAAATAGGACGACCCACAATTTTTATCAACTTTTTAACCTTACATTTCATCGACTTTTATCAAAATCTATCAAAAATCTAATTTTTATCTGAGCCTATGTGATGTTTTCTAATATTGTTCTTGATTGCAGAATGCTGCTGAAAAGCCCCCATCCTTTATGCCAAGCTGGACGGCAATGTATGCGATCAACATCTTTATCGTGGCTTGGGTTTTTGTGATTGGGTTTGGGTTTGGAGGATGGGCAAGCATGACCAATTTCGTGAAACAAGTTGACACGTTCGGGCTTTTCGCGAAATGTTATCAGTGCACAAAATTTGCATTATTTATTAAATATTAGATTAAATAGTGTGTTGAATTGTGAGATTAATTTGATGTCAAGTATAAGTTCTTATTTTACTACTTATCCACTTCTATTGGAATAGAATCTTGCAACGTTATTAATCACTCTTACTTGGCATGTTTCCAAAGTACAATTTCTTACTATTTAGTCATATGCAATGGTATGTGGGCTGATGTAAGATATGGGAACAATACATAATTACATATAATAATCAAATTTCATAATCAACAAACTTGTCAAATTATTTCAAAATTCAGGTGTTGTTCAATTAATAATAGATAATATATAATTAATTAGAATTAATTATCCCAACACAATTAATAGAATCCCCACACCCATCAAATTAATAATATATCAATTAATATATACCCCAAGAGACCACCACCCGACCTAGAATATTCCCCCCGCCCCCTCCTCTCACGGGACCAACCCCACCAACCGCCTAGACCCTAACCTATCCTCACCTACCCCCAAAAAATTTCCAAGTCATTGTATGAAATGAAGTCACCGATGTGTTATTTGTGATTAATTGTAACCAAATTTGCCATTTGTGTTACTAGTTATGATTAGGTCAATCTTAACTGTGACAGTATGCGATCAAGTCGCAATTCAAACAAATTTTGTCACAACCAATCACAATAAACACATACTTGATCACATAGATCACTGCAAATAAATCATCACACTGCAAACGAACATCACAATCCACCACTAGTCAACACCACCATTACGTCCAATGCACCATCGCTTCCACCTTCAACTCAAATTCACGATCATAAATATTACATTTACTAACTTGTGTTATTTACAACTAATTGTGACTAAATTTGCCTTCAGTGTGACAATTTGCGATTAGGTCAATCTAACTTGTAACTGTATGTAATCAAGTCACAATTAATATAGATTTGGTCACACTTGATGGATGCTGACACCACCACAACCACTAACCCCAAGAACGTCAACCAAATGAACACCACCTCATCACGACCACATGCACTACCAGCAAAAGAACAATCACCGTCCACACCACCATCAACAGAACCACCCCATAGATCAAAAAACCACTAGAACCATTTGCAAAACACCAATAACCATCCTAAAACTCTGGCTAAACAACAGAACGGGTAAAAAAACTACCCACCCTTTATCATTGTAGATTGATAAAAAAAATTCGCTCGTTTATCTTGAAAAAAGCCCAAATCCCTCTTTCATTCTCCCTTCAACATAACAAAAATACCAAGATACAAAACAATCTTCTTAATGCACCCTTCATCATTCCAACCATTGCACTCAACTCAAAATCTGATACCTTTAGAGTTCCATTGTCATCCATCAGCAGATTTTCTGGTTTCAAATCATGGTGGTAAATACATATTTGGGTACCAATGACCGGGAAATCCACGATGCCACCATCAAAACTTTGCAATGTTCGAGCATGCCTCGCCCTGTCCCGGGCTTTCATCACCTCTAGTTCCGCATTCTAGTCCGCCAGAGAAGCCCACTCCAAAATCAACACTCTCTTGACACCGTCGCGGCGCCACTACTCTCCGTGAACATAAATCATTGGTGCCTCGTTGCGCACTACAAGTTGTTGGATTTAGAGTCAGCGGCCTCATAGCTCCATCGATGTGACATTGAAATCATCCCTACTAGAACCTCCATATGGCATGACCCTCACTGATTATTACGTATTATTACATTTGTATACAGTTAGTTAGTTAGTACATTTGTATACAGTTAGTTAGTTAGTTGATTAGTTAGTTAACAGCTGGAATTAGCTAGCTTCTTCTGTTTCCTTTCTATTTATACTTGTGTTGTAAAACTCTACTCACTTTTCCTGTGATCAAATAAAAGAGTTTCTCTCTCTTCCTCAATTCAGTTCCAATATGGTATCAGAGCGGGAAAATTAAGCTTAGATCATCTTCACCTTCTTCATTTCTGAATCTCGTGGTTGTTAGTTCAGCAATTTCAAACAGCAATGGAACAAACACAATCAGAATCTTCCGATTCAAGATCTGTCATAAGCAAATCCGCCATTGATGAATCTTCCAGTCCGTATTTCCTTCACCATTCAGATAGTCCTGGATTGGTGTTAGTGTCTCAACAGCTCACAGGAGAAAACTATGCCTCTTGGAGCCGTGCAATGACTATTGCATTATCAGTTAAGAATAAAATCGGCTTCATTGATGGATCCATGAAGGAACCAGCAGTCACCGATCCAGATCTGGTCAATTCATGGATTCGAAATAACAACATGGTGATATCTTGGATACTTAACTCAGTATCGAAGGACATCTCAGCAAGTGTAATCTATGCTTCTATTGCATACGAGATCTGGAACGATCTCAAAGAGAGATTTCAGCAAAGCAATGGCCCTCGGATTTTCCAACTAAGGAGGAAATTAATGAATTTAGCTCAAGATCAAGACACCGTAAGTGTATTTTTTACCAAACTTAAGACTATCTGGGAAGAATTGAGCAATTTTCGACCAAATTGTAGCTGTGGAAAGTGTGTTTGTGGAGGTGTTCAGGAATTAAACAAACATTATCAGGTGGAATATATCATGTCATTCCTCATGGGGTTGCATGAGTCCTTTTCCCAAGTTAGAGGTCAGATTCTCCTCATGGATCCTTTGCCATCAATTAATAAAGTGTTCGCATTAGTTACACAGGAAGAGAACCAGAGAAAATTGCGTACATATTCAGTTGGTAATGACTCAAGTGGGGAAACAGCCTTTGCCTTTAGATCTGATAAAGGCAAGGGAACATTCAATTCTGGTTCTTATGGTGACAGTACAAAACTTGGCAACAGGAAAAAGGAGAGACCATACTGTGTGCACTGCAAATATCATGGACATACAGTTGACAAATGCTATAAAATCCATGGTTTTCCACCAGGCTATAAGACAAGGTCAAGAGATAATCCCCAACATTTTTCCAATTCTAACTCTGTTAATCAAATTTCTGTCAATTCACAGAATGATGAGAAGCAAATGGATCAACAACTTGGTCTTGAGAAATTTATGCAGAACTTGGACTCAAATCAATACCAACACTTGATGACCATGCTATCTACCCACCTTGCTGCCAGTTCACAGTCCCCTTCAACTGATCCGGACAAAGGTGAACCAACATATGCTGCAGGTATACATCATTCTAAATTGGTTAGTCCATCCTTTTCATCCAAAGACATTTGGATTATGGATTCAGGCGCCTCCAAGCATGTATGTTCAATTGCTGCTGCATTCGTAAACTTGAGACCTATTGTTAATTCAAGTGTAACTTTGCCTCATAACCAGTTCATCATTCAGGAGGCTACATCCAGGAGGATGATTGGCAAGGGTAACATTGTTCAAGGCTTATATGTGCTGGGCACCAAGGATTTCGATTTTATTCCAATCTCTAATGCTTTTGTTGGTGCTGTTTCTGCTCGTGTATGGCATAATAGGCTCGGACATTTATCATTCAAACGATTAGATACTTTAAAAGACCAGTTATTGTATGTTGCTGATAAAAGGAATAAACATATGCCATGTTACATTTGCCCTCTTGCTAAACAGAGGAGACTTTCCTTTGAATCACATAATCACCTTTCAAATAGGCCATTTGACTTGGTGCATTGTGACATATGGGGTCCCTATCATGTCACATCTCACTCTGGTTATAGATATTTTTTGACATTAGTTGATGATCATTCTCGATTCACATGGTTATATATGTTAAGGCAAAAATCTGATGCTGTGGAAATTGTGCATAGATTTTTTAGCCTTGTTGCCACACAATATCATGCTACCATTAAAACTTTTCGATCAGACAATGCACATGAATTATCATTCAAAGAGTTCTTTGCTGAAAAAGGAGTGATACATCAGTTTAGTTGTGTTGAACGCCCACAGCAAAATTCAGTTGTTGAGCGGAAACACCAGCACCTCCTCAATGTAGCACGTTCTCTTTTTTTTTCAGTCCAGAGTTCCAATTCGTTTTTGGTCAGAATGTGTGCTTACTGCCGCATTCTTGATAAATAGAACCCCTTCTCACATTTTAAATCACAAAACTCCCTTTGAAGTTTTACACGGCCGTATGGCTGATTATTCCAACCTCAAAGTGTTTGGATGTTTGGCATTTGTCTCAACACTTTCTGCTCACAGGACAAAATTCCAACCACGAGCTAAGGTATGTGTCTTCTTGGGATATCCTCCCGGTGTCAAAGGTTTTAAATTTTTTGATGTATCATCCAAGCAAATTTTCATATCCAGGGATGCCATTTTCCATGAAGAAATTTTCCCTTTTCATACTATTACTACTGCTAATCAGCTGGTAGATCCTTTCCCTGACTTCGTCCTACCTTCTTCTTCTCTATCCATTCCACATGATGTTCCTATTGATAACAATCCTAATGCAGCACCTGTTGATAACTCTGATCCCTTGCTTCCTCCATCTGATTTACCTCTACTAAATCAATCATCTCCCAATGTTCGAAGGTCTCACCGAGTTTCAAAACCCCCCACATATCTCAGAGACTTTCATTGCAATTTACTTTCACCTAATCATCAACTTCCCATCCTTCCTTCTCACCACATTGGACAATTTGTCTCTTATGACAGATTGTCAACTCCCCATCGTCAATTCATCTTGAATGTTGCAACTCATTTCGAACCTCAATTCTTCCATCAAGCAATTAAACTTCCTCAATGGCGTGATGCCATGAAACTGGAACTTGAGGCCATGGAGCTTAACCAAACCTGGTCCATTGTTCCCTTACCAGTTGGGAAGCACACAGTGGGTTGTCGTTGGGTTTTTAAAAACAAATACAAATCTGATGGGTCTCTTGAAAGGCACAAAGCCCGCCTTGTCGCCAAGGGTTATACACAACAAGAGGGATTGAATTACTTTGATACCTTCTCCCCAGTTGCTAAAACTGTATCTGTCAAAGTACTCCTTGCACTTGCTGCCCACAATAATTGGCACTTGATTCAACTCGACGTGAACAATGCATTT